AACGACAGTGTGCTATTTAAACACGTTTCAGTGTGTGCCTATGCAGAGGCACTAATTCGCGTAGAGCGCTTGGTAAAGCATCAACTTTTTGTGTGGCGCCGATTCCCTAAGAACCTGATGAGTTTCTTTGAGGGAGCAGCGGCGGCCCAATCTAGCTCAGCTGTGCTCAGTCTGAGTTGCTTTCCTACCTACAAACCCTCACTTCAAAGCAAGGAACATAATGTACAATTTTTTAATGGCTCTAGACCCAGGCACTCAGGCTCCCTGCTCCGTGCCTTCCCTCGGTGTAAACACCTAATCAAGATTGCCTGCGCTTCCACAATAGCAGCCAAATGCAATTCGAGAACCACAAGCCTTTGAAGTCCTCCCTGCAAAGGCCGGTTTTCTAGTCTGGGATAATGACATGCCATGATTGCTGTCTTTGTTGTATCTTTTCAGTAGAGAAGCAATTATAGGCCCCAATTTAACAGAATAGACATTACACAGCTTATGATGCTCAAAATGCAATTTCATTTGATCATTTTCTCAATTTGATTGGTATTAATAGAATGGTTCACAAAAAAAAAAAAATAGCTGGCAGAGGTTGTGTCCCGTTCCACTTTGAAAGAGATAATGTGGAAGCATGCTTTACCTGCCCAGCGGCTCCCACTGGGGTGGCTCAGGCCCTGAGATCCAACAAAACAGCTTGCGGATGGAAGTACCATACCTCCCACATTCTCTGGGGAAGGAAGCATAAGACAACGCCATTTTAATTTGTGAACGTTTTACCAAAGCTACATAATGGATCCCATCACTGTCAATCAATATCACCAGTGAAAAACTGAACTAACTAAACCAAGTCCTCCTGGCCACAGCCAGGGGATAAACTGCCCAGTGGCAGATCCAGGGATAAGCCCGACTTTTCTCCTGTTACCAGGCTCCTGATAACAGCTCGTCCAAGACAGCTCAGGTTTGAGGTTTGGGAAACGGTTATTTCCTTGTCTCCCTTAGGCAGCCTGTGGAGGTTTGTTTACACTCTCAGCTTTCAATTCTCATCCAGGGCAGAGCTGATTTTTCTTTTCTTTTCTTGAATTATATTTTATTGATTATGCTATTAGAGTTGGCCTGACTTTCCCCCCTTTGTCCTCCTCTGCCCAGCACCCCCATCCCACTTCCTCAGACAATCCCCCCACCCTTGTTCATGGCCATGGGTCATGTGTGTAAGTTTTTTGGCTACTTCATTTCCTACACTGTACTTTACATCCCCATGGCTACTCTGTAACTGCCTATTTGTACTTCTTAATCCCCTCACCTCTCACCCCCCAATCTCTTTATCTTTAACCTTTGGAATTTTAATCATGATATGACTTGGGGCGGGTTCTTTGTGTCCATGTTGTTTGGGACTCTCTGTGCTTCCTGGACTTGCATGTCTATTTCCTTCACTGAATTAGGGAAATTTTCTTTCATTATTTTTTCAAACAGATTTCCAATTTCTTGGTCCTTCTCCTTCTGGCACCCCTATGTAGTGAATGTTGGACTGCTTAACGTTGTCCCACACTGATTACACTATTGTTTTTTGAATTCTCTTTTCTTCTTGTTGTTCTGATTGGTTGTATTTTGCTTCCTTATATTCCAGATCATCGATCTGATTATCAGCTTCATCCACTGTACAGTTGATTCCCTGTAAATTGTTCTTTATTTCAACTGTGTACCCTTTGTTTCTGACTGTATCTTTTTATGCTATTAAGGTCCTCACTAAGTTCCTTTAGCATCCTTATAAATAGTGTTTTGAACTCTGCATCTGATAGATTGCTTATCTCCATTTCATTTAGATTGTTTTTTTGGAGTTTTGATCTTTCCTTTCATTTGGGCCATGTTTCCTTGTCTCTTCACTGTGGCAGCCTCTCTGTGTTTGTTTCTATGCATTAGGTAGAGGTGCTTTGACTCCCTGTCTTGGTCGTATGGCCTGATGTAGTAGGTGTCCTGTAGGGTGCAGTGGCACAGCCTTCCCTATCACCCAAGCTGGGTATTCAAGGTGTGCCCTTCAAGTGGACTGAGTACACCCTCCTCTTGTAGTTGAGCCTTGGTTGCTGTTGGCATGTCAGTGGGAGGGATTTATCCAGGTCAGTCTGCTACAAGGATTGACTGTAACCACTGACTACCAACCTCTGCTCTCTGTGGAGGGTCAGCTGTGCAGGGGTAGGGCGGTGGTGCTCTGACATGGTCTGTAGCTGTCCACTGGGTGTGTAGGCCCTGAGGTTTCCTGGCTGGTGCAGGCCACGATCAGCCTCCACCTGTGTTTTACGCAGGGCCACCCTGCCTGAGTTATAAAGCAATCTCAGGTGGCTGCTACTTATGCTGGGCTTGGAGATTCACAGGTGAAGCCAAACTGAATCTAGGCTGCTAGTTCTGGGACTGGGGCTCACTGAGGCCAGCTGCTACTTGGTGTTTTCTTTTAAATGAGCTGTGTTTCATGACAATGAGGGATTGAAACCTAGGTAATAATGATGACAAAGTTGTAACGCCTAATACTTTTTTTTAATGGAAGAAATTTTTAATTTATTTTGTATTTATTTATATATTTTTATAGATAAGGGAAGGTGGGGGAAAGAGGGAGAGAAACATCAGTCCATTGCCCTCGCATGCACCCCATCTGGGACCAAACCCACAACCCACACATGTGCCCTGACTGGGAATCGAACCAGCAACCTTTCGATTCGTGGGATGAAGCCCAGTCCACAGGGAACCTAATACATTTTATAGTCATCTAATGTTTCTTGAGCTGGTCCTGTGATAGGGACCAAGAGACAGAAACATGAGAAATGGTTCCTGACTTTGAGTAGCAGTAGAGTGTTTATAGTTCTAAATTCCCCATTTCAGCACAAGTTTAACTATTTCATGGTGCTGTGAAGTTTCGCACTTGCAGAGTAGTTAATCATTCAAAACCTGTTGATTACTCCCATTTGTAATCAGAAAAACTCCATCATCAAATAGTTCCGGTAGTAGCAGTGAAAATTCAAGCAAAATTCAAGTGAAAAAGTTCTATTGTCATTTTTTCCGATTTTCAGATTAACCTTTAAGTATCCCAGCTTGCACGTCATGTGTTTGCCGTGCACACACACAGTGTTGTGATATGTAGACATTCAGGCAGAGAAGGTTGCATTCAAGATAAAGGAAACAGGCTGTTGCCCTTGTTGTGCCAGGGAAGTTATGTCGAGTGGTAAGAAATTAGGTTATCTCCATTGTCAACTGCTTACTTATTACTTACATTTAATAGATATCTTTGCTTCTTTTCATATCGAATGCTAGTCTGTGTAGCATGAAGAAAAAGGAAGCAGCAGACAGGGAACTCGAACAGGAACATGCAGTCAGTGTCATGCTCTCCCGAGGCTCTCATGCTACTCAGCCTCCCAGGGGAAATTTCACAAAACAAGTAGAAAGGGCTGAATCTGAATTTTGAAGTTAATCACATTAGAAGGGGGGAGACAGATCAGAGTGTCCAAAGGAGCACCCCCTGAGTGGCCTGTCCCAGGACGAAGGGCACAGAAGTCTCGAGGTTGTTTCTCCAAATGAAAGCAGGCTTAGGAAAGACACTAGTCAGCTTCTCCTAGTTTCTGCTGTTTTCTGAGAGAGGTTGGCTTATTCCATGTCATTTCAGAGGGCAGAGGGAGAGAAAGGGAAGGAAGACACATTTCTGCTCTTGTAAGGAAGAGCTTGATAGCATTGAGGTGGCTCAGTGATGGAATTGTATGCTCACCATCCGTGAAACAGAGATTGAGAAATTTAACATTTCACTCTAAGGGATGCCCGAAAGGACCAGGTCTCCCAGAAAGGGAGTACATGAAGCCCCCTCTTCACTGGCAGAAGAGCCTTAAACCTACGCTCATACAGACACACAGGGAGCTTCGGCCAGGAGAGGGGGCCCGTGTTTGGGTCACGAGTGGCTGAACTTGTACCAGGGATGGTATAGAAGTCCCAGAGGCTATGCTGGATTACCTCCAGGGTCTCTTCCAATATTATGATCGTATAACTTAACTTGATTTTCTGAAATGTCACCCGATGGCTGGAATTCCACATAGGACAGAGATATCCAGTTTTTTAAATTGAAAGCAGATAGCTAATGGATAGAAATAATGAAGGACCTAAATCCCATGAATAGTTTGGGAACCTAAATATGATGTAGCCACCGCCTTTATTAGTGATTCCCAAACCTGGAGGTGCGAGGGTTAAAGTGTGTTAATATTTGGGGCCATCCACAAAACTTCTAACTCAGTTGGCCTGGGGAGGGAGAACACTGATAGTTTTGAAAAGCTTCCTGGCTTGTTCTAATATCTTAACTACAGTTGACAACCACCAATGACCTACGTCATTCAAATTCAAAGTACCAAATGAGAAATTCTGCTGGTCAAAGGTGACATTCCCAATAAGTGAGTGAGTTTAGTGAAACTATCAAACTACATGCTCTGGAGTTGCATACACTGCACTGTTTACTGGCTGTGGACTCTGGGCAGGTTACTTAACCTCTCTGTCCCTCAGTTTTCTCATTTCCAAAAAGGGTTTATAATAGCACATACACGATAAGCTTGTTTGAGGATTAACTGGTGTAAGCCACAGCTACTGGCACTATGAGCATTCAAGGTATATTCAATATTGTTGTTATTTCTATCGTTGTTGGTATCATTATCTTGTAGTGCAGTGTTACTTCATTACATTCTTTTGTCTGGCATATTCAAGCATTAGTCACAGAATCTGGCTCACATAACTCCTGTAAAATTGGGTCCCCTGAGTATGCAGAGCATTTACAGTCATTAGTGTGACCTCAGAGCAGCAATTCTAAGGTCACGCCTGAAAGAGAAAACATTGTTTATTCCCATCTCTCTTGGTAACAACCTAGGTCCCTGAGGACTAACAGGAACCCTTGAAATGAACAGCAAGTGAAACAGTCCTTTCTAGAGACGGGAGGCTGTGGCTCTGGGGCCGAACTGAACCCAGTGAACCTGCTGTGTGTTTCACCCCCTTAGATGTCCTCCCCAGCCAGAGGAACAGGCCAGATGTCCACTCAGCACTCCCACGAGAGGGGAAGAGTTGCCTTCGATCCCGAAAACAACTGGCACCAAAGGGCCCAGCAGCTAAAGGTTACTTGCAGGATTGAATTTGAAATGTGTTTCAAGGGTTACTGCTGAATATAAGCCATGTTTGTGACTCACTTCTTATCACTTAAGGGTTTATTCTTATGCTTGAGAACAGTCCCCTCCTCCCATGGGTAAGACTGGCTTCTTCCCCAGATGGGCCATGGCTTGCTCAGCCAGCCGACCCGACCCGACCCGACCCCCTTTTCCAAAGCTTCTACTTCCTAAACGAAGAGTCATTTCACTCTCTAACATTCGAAGTTATAACCTATTTGAGAAAAGTAATGGAGCAAATGCAAGGGAAAAAAATGCAGTTCCAAAACATCATCCAATTTTGTGCCCCTCCCAGCCTGTTTCCTTTGGGGATCGGTTCTGTCGCATCCCTGGAGGAGGGGGACCCTGACGCTCAACATGAGCCCAGCAGAAGCCTCTCTGGGTAAAGGGAAGGCCAGCTCACTGCTCACGGAGCATAATGGCATCCTTTTCCACCCAGGGGTTTACTACCTTGAAACCGTATTTTGTTTCTGGGAAGAATTTTATGGACGTGCCCCACTGACTTTTTCTGGAGGAATCAGGAAAAGCAGCTGCAGCTGCTTTCTGCAGCCGGTGTCTGCGGTTGTTGGAGCAGCCCCGAGTGGACCAGATGCCACCCCTGCTTAGGAAGGAACAATCCCTTTAGAGTCACCCAGGCTCTGACCTGGCACAGTCACACTATGTGCAGTGGTGGAAGTAGTAATAACAGCAATAAGGTGCGTTCCGGTTTCCAAGGAGTTAGATGAGAGGGACTGCCCCGGCCATCTTTCCGCCCCACTGGCCTCCAGACCAGTCTTATTTTTATTTTTAATATAACTTGTATTTTAAATTACAGTTGTCATCTAATATTATATTAGTTTCAAGTGTACAGCATGCTCACTAGAAATGTATATAACCTGTGAAGTGATCACTCCAGTAAGTCTGGCACCCACAGGACACCTACATAGTTATCACAGTGTTATCGACGGCATTCCCTGAGCTGTACTTACATCCTGAGACTGTTCGGTAGCTTCCAATCTGTACTTCCCAATCCCTTCACCATTTTCAGTCATCCCCCCACAGCCCCTCCCCCCTGGCAACCATCGGAATGTTCTCTGTCGTTGACGTTATTTCTGTTTTTCTTGTTCATTTATTTTGGTTTTTAGATTCCACATATAAGTGAAGTCATATGATGCTTGTCTTTGTCTGACTTATTTCACTTAGCACAATACCCTCTAGATCCATTCATACTGTTACAGATGGCAAAATTTCATTCTTTTTATGGCCAATCCATTTTGTGTACAAGCATATCCAAAGAAAACTGAAATGCTGATTTGAAAGAATATACATACTCCTATGTTCTTTACATATTACAGCTTTATTTACAATAGCCAAGATATGGAAGCAGCCCAAGTGTCCATCCGTAGATGAGTGCATAAAAATGCTGTGGCACATTGACACAATGGAATAGTATTTGGCTGTAAAAAAGGAAACCTTATGTTTTGCAACAGCATGGATGAACCTGCAGAGAATTATGCTAAGTGAAATAAGTCAGAGAAAGACAAATAATTATAATTTCTCTTATATGTGGAATCTAACAAACAAAATAAACTAATAAACAACATAGGAACAGACTCATAGATATAGAGAATAGACTGACAGCTGTCATAGGGGAGAGGGCTGGGAGCCTGGTGAAAACATTAAAGGGATTAAGCAAAAAAACAGCAGAACTCATAGGCACAGAGCACAGTATGGTGATTACCAGAGGGAAAGGGGATGGGGGGAGGCAGAGGTGGGTAAAGGGGGATAAATGATGTGTTGGTGAACACAAAATACAACATACAGATGATGTATATAGAACTGTATACCTGAACCCCGTGTAATTTATTAACCAATATCACTCCAATAAGTTCAGTTAAAAAGTGAAAAGACAAACAGTGAGGAATGGTGGGCCATGTCCCCCTGGTACCGGGTTGTTTATCTCCGGAGGTCTGGAGAAGAGACCATTCCGACATTAAGCACGCTATCCTAGATGGGCAGGGCTTGCTTCTGGTAAAGATCACTCTACCACACAGGCCTAGGACGTGAGTTCTCATTATAAGCAGTTCAGTTAGGAATTGTTATGGTCAGAAATCCCGCATGGTTACCTTCAGGTGTTGTGCGTGTTCGGCCCGCCAGGTAGCCACCTTTTCATTTCCAGTTTCCCCTTTTGGTCATAAATCAGTTGGAATGATGCCTTGATGACCAACCGTTTGGGCATAATGTAGTCCTATGGTGCCAGGAAGACTCATTCCGAGGAAGTTTTAGTGTCTGCGTTCTCTCGTTGAAAGATGAGCAGTTGGGGATGGGACAAGACTATAACCATGGGATGTGAATTAAGGCCTGATTTTCCCAAAGAGGGGAGGGCACATAGATGGGAGGCAGTCGGTCCCATGGGCCTTCATTATGACAAACATTCTGGATCATTTCTAACCTGTGAGCTGCCGTGACCTGAGTTTTCTTGTTTACTTTACCCTTCATCCTTCTACATCTAATGTAAGGTTTACCTAACAGGAAGAGGAATAATAACAGTAGTCCAATAACATACAATAAAAACATAATCTGCTTTAGGTGAGGATGAGCTTGAGGGAGATAAACGTTCCAGCCAGCCCAAGAACGCTTTACAGGTGTTGTCATGGTTTTTACCAAAACAACAATGTGTTTTCCTTCTTCATCTGTTGCCATCTGTACTTTATGAGAGGATGGCCCAATGAATGAAGACTTTTAGCTATTTCATAACCTAAATTTCTAATTTTTCTCCTGGCCAGTTTCCATGGAAATAACTCCGTGGAGAGAATTGAGTTCACTTTCCCAGTACATTTGATTTTCAGTATTAATATTCTTATGTTTTATTAGCCTGAGGTAAAGTTCTTTACCTGTAATATCTGTATTACACCACATTCCTGTAGCATTTAATATGAATTTAGTGTAATTACAATTGAAGTGACTTAGAATAACAGGAATTTTCTAGTCCTTCCCAGCAAAAATGGCCCTTCCCCATGTACCATACATTGTTACTTGTCGGGGTAGATGCAACAGGACAGGTTGGGTGAACTCGGAATTTCACGTGGTGTGAGGGCATGACCACTTACCTCTTTGATTTTTATAATCTGACAGTTAGATGAGTTCCCGTGTACTGCCATCTTCTTTAATATGGTCCATCTACTTTGCACTGGAAAGTGTTATTAAGAATAGTTTTTTTTTACCAGTGGTTGAATTATTGAAGATTTTAGTTTAGGATTCAGCTGGATGCCCGATACAGGGTTATATGTTACATTTTCTATCTCCCCCTCCCCACATTTTGTTATCGTTGTTCAAGTACAGTTGTCTCCATTTCCCCCCTACCACTCCCCCCACCCCAGCCATCCCCACTTCCTGCCCTTGATCCTACCCCTCTTTGGTTTTGTCTGAGTGCCCTTTATTCTTGACCCTGAAAAGCCTCTCCCCTTTTCCCCTCATTATCCCCTTCCACCACCCCTCTGGTTACTGTCAGTTTTTTCTTAATTTCAATGTCCCTGTTATATTTTGCTTGTTTGTTTTGTTGATTAGGTTCCACATATAGGTGAGATCATATGGTGCTTGTCTTCCCATCTAAAATTTTCTAAAGCTCAGGGAGACCCTAAGAGTCTTGTAGGTCTTTACACCCATTACAATTGGCCATTGTCTTACAACCATTTCAGATTCCATTTGTATTAACATGGATATGAGACCTTATTGAGTAAGGTACACACATTAATTAATAAGTCAAGTGTAATTGGCAAAATGTAGTCAGACTTCTGAGCCTTGTTAGTCTATATCTTCTTGAACCAAAAGGATACACAAGCAACTTATGTATAGTAGAAAAAGAGTTCAAATCATTCCTAATTAAAAGGACATAGTGCTTGGTGGATCATTTTTATTTTTTGCGTCACCATAATTTTAGTAGGAGCAGCTGATTTCAAGCAGGGGGAAGGACAATAGACTTTGAATTTGAATGCTGCAAAAAGGATCAGCAAACCTACCAATATCATAACACTCTTTAACAGAGATCAAAACAATGTTCTTAACCCTGAAAGTAGCCAGCTAAACAAGTCATGTAGTGGGTCATCCTTTCTTTTTTCGGGTGTCATTTAGCTTGTTGAGTGACCTTTTCTTAATTAAGTCTCTGCTCCCCCTGAGATGTTTATATATGTGGAATAGGTGGAATGGGCAACAGCACAAACTCCACCTTGTTTGGCCAACAAGAAGTCAAGGGCTGTGTGATTGTCAAGGACAACCCAAGCAAGAGAATTTAGACTTTTGTGATGCAGCAACAGTCTTAGCCATCTCTTTAGCAGTTTTCTGATGGTGACAGATACATTTTTAATCATATCCCTACTGATATATATTCTGGCTCTTGGGATTAGCATGCCAAGTATACTTTATCCAAATCTATCATGATAATCAACCAGCATTTCCTTTTAAGGCCTTATGATCTGTTTTTCCGTCTGTTGAAACAGTTCTTTGTTAAAATAATTTGTCCTATGAAATGCTGGGGGATTCTTAAGAATAGATAAAGGAGTGATGAATTGCACCCCCAAAATAGAGTTCTTCCATTTGCCAACTGCCTGAACATCAATGTGCCCACCCTTTAGTAGAAGGATCTTCTCCTATGCTGTGAATAATGGTAAACTTGGGCGGAGCACAAACTACTCCCCCACTGAGTATCTCTGTCTCTGGATCATTCACAGGTATTATTGAGAAAATCCCTTTCAATAAAGGGTGAAGCCATTTATTATACCTGTTTTCTAAAATCCATTGAGATGATATTGGATGGAAGGAATGACTTTACATAATTTGGTTATATTTTTCTTTTTAATATTGTCATGTAGACATTTAGAGATCAAATAAGAAAGGAATCAGGGAGGGAGCAGAGTTAAATTTCAAATTTGGTGGAGATGACAGGAGACAGTGAAAAGCAAGGGATGGATGTTCCT